AAACCCTTAGGATCCGGAACAGTTTGACCCATACCCTTAGTACAATGCTTGCCTTGTTTTTTGACCCTGTCTCCTGCGTTATAATCACCGTCCTTCAATTCTAACATGTCACCACAAGCCACCTCACATAGCAACATAAAACCAACATTATCTCTGTTATTCGTATAGCAATAATTGGCGGATTTTGAGACACAATCAGCAAAATAAACGCCTTTGCCAAACATGTATCCAGTGCAGGGAACGTGAGGGGGTGCAATTCTTAGTCCCTGACTCAAAATTCCAGCAAAATTTGTTTTTCTAGAACCATGCCAGAGTAACATCCTGTTGTGAAATTTGGAATATTTCTCGTAACGACTTCTTTCCCCTTCTCTTTCAATGTCAAAGGCATCAAGAATTTCAAGTTCATAACTGTTATGCGTGGCGCCTTGTGTGTTTTTGATATATTTGAGCAAGAGTTTAAATTCTTCAGAGTCGTGATCCAAGGGTACCATTCTTTCCAAGTGAAGAGAATTGTAATGAGAATCTAATTTATTCAAAGTTTCATCGGATGACCTGATTAACGAAGTGGCGATCTCAATTTCTCCCAGGGCTTCAACCATATTTAGCTTCTCTTTTAAAATTGCCACGGAATTGATTAGCGTTGGTTTACTCATGCCGAAGTTATGCGGAATGACGGAATAAAAATCATTGCTAAGTTCTACTAAACTGCCCGACTCGTTACTAATCAAAACGGCTTCAATCTTTTTGAGCACTTGGTATCCTTGGGTTATGGTATTTTTTGAGAGTTTTCCCAAAGGTAGTTTTGCCGCATCGTAATTTAGTTCAACCATTGTATCTTTAAAGGCACTAATATCAAATATTGTTCTGATTATGTCTTGAACTTTTGGATTAAGTTTAGATTCGGGTTCTTTTGGGGGTTCCGAATCATCAACTTCCTTTCCCTTTCCTTTCTTCGTATCACGAACTTCGTCCTTGTTTTCTTCATCATCTCCTCCATAGTCGCGTTCTAAAAGAGTGTATTTGCCTTTATAAGCAACAAATTTATTACTATCTTGACACACTTCATCCCAGGAGTTGCGAGTCTTATCCTTGAATTTTTTCTCGAATTCTCTTTTCGCCACATCCAAGTCGA